GGAGATATCTCATCCCTCTCCCTTCGTTCTGGTGTTAGGAAGGCCATATTCCACATTGAGTCACGATACTCTGAGTCATGATCATTGATGCCATCACTGTACTGCACCGACTTCAGAAGAACATTTCTCACAGGACTGTTACTATTGCTCCCTGAATCATTTCCATCACCACCTCCATCACCACCTGTGCCACTACCTCCACAGCTGTTTTCATCATCACCTATACTACTGACTCTACCACCATTATTGTTAGTGTTAGTACTTCTATTGTCACTGGAGCTCTCTTTTCCTTGACAGGTGTTTTCAGATACAATGTTAGATGTTGCTACACTTGAGAGAGCTGGTGTATCATGACACACTGTCTCACTACTTTCAGCTTTCAAATGTTCATCTGCTTCTTTTAATGAATCTTCCACAGCCAACTGTTCTGTTTTTTCTTGTACTTTACTTGTGGATGGCTTGAGGTTGGATGCCACAGGCTGTTCAGATGATATTGCAATTTCTGGAGTTTTTGAAATTTCATCATATTGATCTGATGTTTCTTTTCGTCCTACCTCTTCCTTTGATGCTGAATTACTTTTCACAGAATTCTTAATATCACTTTCATTTGAGCTAGATTCTGTCTCTTTTATCTCTTGGTCTCCAGATGCCCCAGTCAAAAGCTTTCTAGCACAATTCTGCTCCTTCAATTTTTCTGAAGGGCAGGGTGGGCTCCTTAGTACAGTGTGTGGTGAGGGACCATCTAACCTTCTAAGAGTTTCTTCTATGTCATCATCCACATTTCGTTCACTTTGTGCTGCTGGTCCCACTTTGACTTGACCTCCCTCTTGTGTAGGACTATCTTCATGTTTAGCATTCTCAGAATCACAATTTTCATCTTGTCTCTTGTCTTTACCTTGTCTGTCTTCTTGTGCCTTTCCTTGTGATTTTTCAACTATTCTTTTACTAATAGGCAATCTAACATTCTTGTCTGAAATGGCTGCTTCTCTATTTTTCAATCTTTTAGCTCTGGTTGTTAAACTTTCACTGACTTCTACAGTACTTGCTGTTTTCCTAAGCACTCTTACTTTGGGATTTTCTGTAAGCTGATTTCCAACCAATTCAACACTTGGTGTTGACTTTGTATCTTTCTCATTATTTTCACAGATCTTTGGACTAACATCACCTGAATTCTTAGCTCCCTGATCATCAGCTTGATCTTCATTTTTGCTCTGGGGTGATTTTGTCAAAACTGGCTGCTGGAGTGAATGCTCATCTTGGCTTTTCTCTTCTTCTTCAGCATCATCTAAAATAATCCTGGAACTGCTTCTCCTTAACATTGCTTGGAAAGTTGCATTGTTAAAGATGAGATTTTTGGCTGTCTTTTTGTTCACATCTGGATCACTGAATCCATCATCATCATCTGTACTAACTTGCCTATGCTTTCTTAAATTCCTCATTTGCTTTCGTGGCCCAAGCCTCCTTTCATGCCTTCTACTAGATGTAAAACCAGCATCATTCTCCTCCTGGGAATCGGTAGATGAATTAATAACTGCCAAGGTCTTTATTCGGGTGCGTTTTGGACGTGAGATTCCTCTACCACGGCCTCTACCACGGCGATGAGGTACATGAAGCGGTTGCCTGCGTAGTCTGCTGCTCTGCCTCAAGGTCATCCTTGTTTCTGGTTCCTTTTGCTGAACCTCATCCTTAGCCTCCTGATCTTTGCATTTCGAGCTATCACTCCTTACACTTGAACTCTCAATATCTGAGTTCAAGCTTTCTTCCAGATTGCTTGAGTTGCTATCGTCAGTATGAAGACTTACACTTTTGATGTAACCTAACTGCCCTTGTGCCTCACTGCTTTTACTGGAAATACTTTTTTCTTCACTCCCCAAAACTGTATTTTCTATAACATCTTCACCGTGTGCACTTTCAGTTTCACAAAGTGAACTCTGTACTGATGGCAAGACATCAGCAATTTCCACAGTCTCATCTCCAGTGTTATCCTTACCATCATTATCAGTGTTCAATTTTTCTTTGGGTTCTGAATCATTAACTGGAACTTCAAGCATCATCTTGTAGTTTGGTGTCCTGAATAACCATCAGTTCTTCAGTACTTGAATCTAAACTGCTACTGTTTTTACTTTTTGAATACTGAGACCTTCTCTCTTTTAAAATCATACTTAGATTTGCCTCCATTGGAACTGCACCTTCTGATCTGATATTTCTTTCACTTCTTCGTGGTTTCTTTCCTAACAAACTTTCTGGGGGACTTGCTAGAATTCTCTTTTTTACATTTTCTCGGACTCCAAATTTATCAGGCAATGCCTTGCCATCTTTCTCAGTATCTTCAAATGTTGGCTTAACCACCTGTGTTGATAAAAGTCTTTGGGCTCTTCTTGTAAATTTTTTAGGAGCACTAACATTTGCTTCTGGAGATGAGCTTGATGTTCTTTCAAGAGTTCCTATCACTTTGGGAGAAAGCTTTTGCAAAAGAACTTTGGGCGGAGTTTTAAGCTTCCTATCCCTGACCAGTAACGTGTGAACTGACAAATCTATAGGGCCAGGAAACATACAATTTGTATCCTTAGAAAATAGCTCAGGTGATGAACTCATCTCGTGATCAGAATCTGCACAAGGTAGGTGATCGTATACTTCAGAAGCTAATGACTGCTTCTCAACACTGTCAGAGGAGCTCTTTTTTTTATCACTGCCATCTTGCAGTGTTAATGGTGTTTCACTTCTAACAGAACTGTTGCTTTTATCTCCTAACAATAAAGCTTCAAGATCTTCATCATTCATTGTTCTTGCATCTGGTGTTTCAATCCTCTCAGAACTTTTATTTGGAGAACCCAAGATAGCAGCCAACTCCAATTCCACAGAATCCACTCTCACAGACCGACCAGGATAAGGTGTCCCTGTAGGTGTACCATGCTGAATGGGTGTAGGAACTGGAGATGTAGTTTTCACTAGTGATGATTGTACTGCTGGTGATTGTTTCTCGTGTTTACTTTTGTCACCCTCCTCTGACAGATTCTGTGGCATGCAAGATTTGGTTGTCTGAGGTAATGAAAATACTTCTTTTCCTACTGAACTATGTACTACTGTGGATTGTGAAGGTTTTGGTGAAGCTGATATATGAGTTGTGGTTTTTGGAGAAGTCTGCATTACTGGATTTTGTGTTGGGGATGTTTCTACTACTGAAACAGAACTAGGGGGTGTTGGAATATTCTGCAAAATTTCTGTTTGTTGTGTTATGTCTTTTGGTTTATTTCCGTCTTTGCTCTTGTGTGTTTCCTCAGGTTGTTTTCCAAGATCAAATTCCCTCTTGTCATGCTGTGTGCTTACTTCTGGTGACCGGGCTCTTTCCATATCTGTCTGCAGTGTTTCATCTTGATGCAATGTGTGTTTCTTGATAATATTAGAGGAATCAGCAACAAGACTGCCAACTGCTGCACCTTCCGATGACACAGGTGCATCAAGTATACGCAACTGATCTTCCAGCTCCATTGCTTGGGTGTCAGTAATTTTGTCTTTTTCATTACTAGGTCCAGAACCTTCACTGGCAAGATCAAGTTTGCGAACTGTTTCTTCAATAGGATCTGGTGGAACTGGAGGCTTAATTTTGATTTTGCAAGGTGTCTGCAGCATTGGAGGCACTTTAGCAATGTCCATCATGTCATCAGCAGTTTCAGATTCCGTCATACCTCCATCAGTAGTTGCTCCGTCATTATTATCAGTTGCAGCATCTGTGTCATATGATGCACTCTGATCCATATCTGAGGGTTCATCCTCACTCTTATCTTTTATAATTATTTCTTCATTCTGTTCCCAGTGTGAATTGCAACGTTTAAGTCTCAGCACTGGAGCTGGTGGAATCACAAATCCATCCTCTGTTCGTTTTACCCTTTTTAGTGAACCCTTTTGTTTATCACTGGCCTCAAGTGATGATGAAAAGCCAGACACAGCTGACTTCTTGATGATAAGTGTTGGAATTGCTGGTTTGCTTGAGCCTGAATCCTTCTCTTTTGTAACTGACTGTTTAATGATACTTGAGCGAGATACAGCTGATGCAGTCTTGTGTGATGTAAGTTCACTTTTCTCAGAGGTGCTTGCTTGTATATTGCTGGAGGGAGGTACCTGGTCATCACAGCAAGATGTACTGGTGCTTGCTGTATCTTTGCCATCTTTATCTTTGCTATTGTTGTTCTCTTCAACTCTCCTGGATGAGGGACTAACAATCTCAGACTGAGAGGGTACAGCAGGCTGAAGTTCTGCTTTCTCTGCAATAGTACGTTTTTTGATCCTGAGAATAAGTTGTTCCTGGCGGGGCTTCTTCCGTAAGCGAATCTTCAAACCACCACGGGGTGTTGATCCAGGGCCTGAATACGTTACTCTGTGTTCTGGGGTATAAATTGGATATGGCATTGAAATATAAGAAGGAGTCATATAACCTGGGGTATGGCAGGGTGTGCGAGATGGGGTTCTTAAGTAACTGAAATTTGGGTCTCTTACTGGAGTTCTTATGGCATTCTGCACAATTTTCCTTGCTCTCTTATACATGGGGTTGTTTGTCCTGCCCAAGCTCTTTAGCCTTTGAGCAACAGGAACATCTTCATCACTGACATCATCTTCAAATTCATAAACATTCTTACTGCCAGCCTTACTCAATCCTCCAGTCTCCTCTGAACAGTCGATACCAAGAGGATCGTGAGGATCACAGTGGAGTGGGAAAGCCTCTGGTGACTCTTTGCCATCAAGATTACTGTCTACAGTGATGGAAGAGCTTACATTTTCTATAATTGTTGGATCTTGATCATTTCTCTTTCTCTTTCTTGGTGGCTTCTTGAAAGTGCTATCTGCACTCCGCTTTCCTACAGCTGTACGTCTGATGGTGATCTTCAATTTTGATTCTTTATTGCCTACTACAGTAAGCTGGGGAGATGATGGATCTGCTGGTTGAGATTCACCAGCAAGTTCAGTTGTTTTGCCAGATTTATCAGCAGCTTCTGAAGTTTCAATGCTGTTGCTGTCTTTTTCCAAGTTATCTTTAGGAGGAGATTCATTGGGGAATTGAGCAGCCAACTTCCTCTGTGTTTGAAGTCTTCCCTTCTTTGTTGGAGTCGGATGATCTGCTTCATCCGAGAAGTTTACACTATCATGTAATTCACTGATATTTATTGTTGTTAAACTATCTTTGGTGGAATCAGTGTTCAGGATCGATGCATCTGAATTTTCCTTTGCTGACACATTTTCAGCAACAACTGGTGTAACAGCTGGTGTTGTAGGTACATCAGGTAATGTTAACAGTTTTTGTTGTTCTTGTTCTTTATTTATCTTTTTTGGTCTTCCCCGACGTCTTTTTACAGGCTGACCTGATGGTGATGGTGTTACACTTGGTATACTAGGGGATGGCTGACCACTTTCTGGGAGCTGGTCATTCACATTTGTAACTTCAGGCACAGCTGGCAGAAATTTAGCAGATGGAGTTAGTGCATCAGCATCAAAAAACTCTGCATATGAGACATTTGCACATGCACGCCTACCTCTCAAACGTGTTGAAGGAGCTGGTTGTGGCTTTGTAAAAACAATTCCTGAATTATCTTTTTTATTTGATGACCCCTGCATTGCATTTTCCTGCACTACAGAATTTTTCTGTCTATTTATTTCATCTATGGGAGTTGCAGGAGTTTCTGGTTGTGCAACTCTGGTGTACTGACTCTTCTTAGGTGGCAAAGCCTTGCACTTTTTGGGTGGTCTTCCTCGTGGCTTCCTGTAAACAGTTGGATTATCTGGTGTTGTGGATGTTACTTCTGAGCTGCTGTCTGGGGTGCTAGTTTCAACCACCTTTTGATTTTCCATGTTGATGATCGGAATCAATTCTTCACTAAAAGCTTTCAGTGCTCCTTTTGTTGGTGTCCTCTTGATGGGTGTTTTTAATTTCAAAACTAACTTTGGTCTGTCAACTTCAGTATCAGCAGGAGCTATCACAGAATCATTTACACTTTGGTCACTTGAAACTATATTCTGCACATGAACTGGGGTACTTTCTCCAATATCTTTCCCTGTGAGGGATTCACTGCTTGGCTGATCATCAGAAACCTCTCTAGATGATATATTGCTTTGGGAGACTATGCTTGGCTTAGAAACTTCAACAGGCAAAGTGATACAATCAGGCTTCTGAGAGGAATCTAAAGCAGGTCTTGATGTCTGAATATCTGGTTCTGTCATTACTTTTGGATCTTGATGACCTTCTGATCCTATTTTCTCAGCTTCACTCTCTACCTCTTGAACTTCACTGAAACTCTCTGATGCTGAAACAAGTTCACTTCTTGTTTCTGTTGATGAATCTTTGATATCTACAGTTGGCTCCTCAACAACTGCTTTACTTGAAACAGCTGGCCCATCAGTTGAGGTCTGACTGCTACTACCCTGACTGCAAGAAGCACCTGTTGGAACTGATTTCTCTTCAGCTACTGTCAACTCCTTAGAAGATGTCTGTGGCATTTCATCTTCTGTATTCTCACCATCTGAGGATCTTGGGAGGGAGCATGGTGGCGGAGAGTTTGCAGAAAAGCGTGATGTATCACTTGCTTGGCTTGATGAGCTACTCCGCCTGATTATAATTCTACATCCAGCCATATTTCGACCAGAATCAGCATCACTATCATCATGCTCCTGCAGTAGGTTAGCCTTTAAGGCATGGAAAGATGACTCAAAGCCTTTTAGTCGTTCCACTGATGATTTTCCTACCTGGGATAAGTCAACCTCTCTTGCTGACTTGCTACTGTCCTGTTTCTGAGAATCTTCATCCAAGTCTTCCAAAATGAACTGCTCCCTTGATGTCTCCACAATACCTTGTAGGATAGACAGTGTTTCACTAATGTTATCTGAATGAAGGCTTTTTTGGATGATTGGATTATTTTCAGTTTCCTGAGAATTTTTTGGATTTTCTTCTGGTACAGTTACAACATCAACTTCTGTGGCTGCATTATCATCCTCAAACTTTGAAGATATGCTCTTCTTGAATCCTCTACTGAACTGGCGGTCTGTTTCCTGATCTTGGTGGATACTCCGTAAATCTCGCAACTGGGTCTCTGATAAACTTACTTCAAAATTTGGTTCTTTGAAACAATGTGAACTTTCCTTTCCTGATGCCTCTTGCTCTTCCTTTGAAGTGGAGGGAACATCTTCCATAATTTGGTCACCAACAGATGTAGCAACACATGCTGCATCTTCTCCACCAATGATGCTGACAGGAGTGCTAGCCTCAGTTCGTGGGTGATCTACAGAACCTCTGTTAACTCTCTTTAAGAATTTTCCCAGTTTTCCTGCTTGTTCATGACGAACATCATCATGCAAATCTCCTGTTGTTGGGTGCAACTGTCTCAGAGATGCACTACATTCATCATCTTGAGATGTTAATGAGCCACCACTTGTGCAAACATTTGCGGTTCCCTCAAGACTATTTACTGTTTCAATGTTACTACTAACAGTATTACCAGCACTACAACTTAAAGATCCTCCCCCACTGTTACCAACAACAGAGTTACTACTATTTCCAGACATAATGGCATTTGGGAAAAGACTTCCTGAGAGTGCACTTACTGCATGAGAACTTTTCAAAATGGATTCTGACACAGATCGAGGTAAACCAAACACACCAGTGTGTGGTACTGTTTCATGAAGATTTGAACTATTCTGGACTACTGGGCTAGTGAGGGGTACCTTTGCTTTTCCATCTGTAAGAAGTTTTTGGGAAGTGAGGTGATGTTGTAAAGACTTTCCTAAGCCTTCTAATTTTGATGCTTCAGAACCAATTGAGCTTGCAGGCAGTAGTTCTGGTGCTTCATCCACAACATTGATAGGACTATCATCTGGTGAAACTTCCTGACTTGGCTTGGTTTCCTTCACACAGTCTGGTTTTACTGTAGTCTCATTACTATGTGGTCTGTGTCCCTCTGGTAAACTGCAGGGTTGTTGATACATCTGAGATGGATAATTAGGTGGTAAGAGAGATCCTTGAGCAAAACGCCCACGGAAGAGATAAGAGTTAATTCCAGGTCGATATAAGGGAGCAAGATTTTGGGGTGCTTTCAGCTGTGCTGCAATTTCACTTGACATACCAGGCCACCGTATGGGAATCAAAGCTGGGTCCATGTGAATAGGCAAGTCTCTCAAATCTGAGCTCGAGCCATACCTCCAAAATGGATGTCCTTGGTCTTCTTTTCCCAGATTCGGTGTTGTTAAATCTTCTTTTGACCCTATGTGTGGCCTATTTGGTGGCTGTTGTGGTGGGTACACTCCAGCACGATGCCCATGATCACCTGGGCTGAGTAGAGGAGGTGGGGCTGCCTTTGATGTTGTCAATATTGAGCCTCTCATAAATGGCCTTTCCTTGTACATCTGAATGGCTCTACCTCCCAATTCTGGTCTCAATTTCAGAGCATGAGGATGGTATCTTGGGTGCGGTAATAAAGGTGTGATACCAGGAACACTGGGTGGAGCCATGGACTGCACATTTTCTTCAGGTGGTTTAACATCATTCTCTTTACATGAGGCAGGACTCGGAGTCACTCGTACCAGTGACACAACTTGGGCTTGGGAAGTAAATGTGCCTTGACACTGAATTTCTGGGTCTTTATTATCCTCAGAAACTATCTGGACACTTCTCTTCCGTATGGGAAAGAGACGTTTATCACGTACAGAAATCTCTTGTACAGAAAGAGGTACAGGTGCAGGTACATAGCTTAATGGAGTTTGCTGAGACTCTCGTGGTGCTACTTCAGTGCCACTTTGAATACTAGACCTATTGATTAAGTCATCATGAAGTATGGTAGAGATGGAGTTGCCAGCACTATTAACTTTCTGAATAACCAGAGATAGGGGGGAAGTTTTTTGAGTTTGAGGGTCTGAGTATGGAGATGATGATGGGATTTTGAAGGAATTTACACTGGGTGTGCTTTCCCTTGACCAGTCAGATCTGCTCTTTGAACTAGATGAAGATGCTGGCGACCCTCTGATCAATCGAATGTGCCCAACTGGAGTTGCTGGCAACCGACCATCAAGATCAGTACCGGACGGGTGGCTAGGAAGCGTCTGAGGTAACTCAACAGAACCCAGAGAATCAACTGATCTTGTGTCATGCTCCACCACCGGACTAGGACCTGGTGCACCAACTGGGTGTCCTATAGGGACTTGTCTATTCTGGGTGAGGATGACAGGTGGTGGAACTGCCTGATTCATCTTCAGGAAAGAAGGTTCAAGAAGAGCTCCAGGTCGTGGCACAAGACCTGCATAACTACAAGTGCTGGATGACTGGTAAGCTTCAAACCTGTTTGGCTGTGGATTTGGCTGAGAAACTGGCGCAGATTCGTGATGTGGGAGCCGACCTAAACTGCCCTGATCATGCTTTTGGTTGGGATCTGTGGATTTGGGTTGCTCTTCATGTGCTACTCCTTCAATTGTTGCAGAATTCTGAGTTGATGATATCAATTGCTTCTTAAAATGAGTTTGAAATGGACGAGACAAATGGTGGGATGGGGACTCTACAGATATGCTGGGTGGCCTCTGACTTCCCTCCCCAATAATCTGTACTGTATTTGGATACATGTGGCTGCTGTATGGTGCCGAAAACCCTTCACCAGAGGCAGAATCAAGCTCTGTTTGTGCTATTATAGGCTTAGGAGTCGGAGCAGTTCCAACTAATCTAGCCTGAAGTTCTGGAAAAGATGGATCATGTTGAAACTGGTGAGACCCACTGACTGGTAAGTAGCGAGATCCAGAATCGACTGGCCCTACAGATTTGTTTGCCAGAGAGGAATCCAGGGACAAAGTGTTCATTATACCCCCATGGTGAATTCTTGTTGTTATAATGCTAGCTTCAGATGATGCCCCAGATGCAGTGGGCATTATACTTGTAATAGGAACACTACTCACTCTTGGTACTGAAGAAACAACTGCATTATCTAGTACAACCACACTTGATGCACTGGGAGATGATCCTGGTGGCATGCTCATTACAGGTAAGATTTTCCTGCTTTCAGAGAGAGGTCTGACATCATAAGGTGATGTCAGAGCATTAGGTACATTAGTACTGATAGTATCAGGTGCTCCTGTTGGTAGCTTTGAATTCAGATTTTGTAATTTATGTGTCACTAGTGGCACGGGAATAACTTTGCTTGGATTATTAGCTGATGAGAACAGTGACACTAAAGAATCTTCCCTAGAGCAAGGCCTGCCTATATCTGAAGATGATTCAGATGTGGCTGGCAGTAGTAGAGATGTTGTGGAGGACATGGGAGTTATGGTTGCTGCGGAATATGTTATTTCCCCTAATGAAGTAACTGATGAAACACTTGGAGAAGTAATTGTGGACATGGTGGGAAGTGTAGCCGAGGATGATACTGTCAAGACAGTCCTCGGAGATGTGGTTTGTGGAGATGATACCTGTTCAACAGCAGTACTAGATGTCAGTAATACAGGTGTTACAGGTCTTGTTAGTGAAACTGGAGTCAAAATTCTTGCAATTGAGGCTGGCGTTTGTGCCCTCACACTAGGTATCTGGACAAAATTCTGTGTTGGGGACACACCCACATCTGATGCTTCAGAACTCTTAGGTTCCACAGCAACTTCTGTATTCAATTCTGGTTGCATATTAGATGTTGCTACTTGCACTGAAGAACTTGCTGGTGTTGGAATTCCTGGTGATGGTAACACTTCTACATCATCTACTTCATTTCTCAAGGAGAATCCTCCATCTACTGATTCTGAATTTTTCTCAATTGATGACATAAATGGTACTGTCTCAGGCGGTGCTGTCAATGATCCAGCTGCTTTTGGAGATACTAACTTCGTGACAGACTCTGTCACCTCTGTTCCCATAATTTGTGCAGTTGGTGCTGTTGTTACAAGAGTAGGATAGGCAGATACTAAAGTTTGGTCTGTGGAACCAAGAGGTAATGATTCTGATGATGGAGAAAATTTATCTGCAGACAAATTCTTTTCACTTGCTGGTGACTGGTGACTCATCTTCAAGGCATCTGTCACATTTGCTCCTAATGACACCCCAAACGACGCATTTTCCTTGGTAAAAAAGGGTGCATTCAAAGCAGAAGGTTCCCTTGGTGAAATATGTGGATTTGACACAGGAAGGAAAGTGGAAACTGTTGATAATTCTGGGCCCTCTAGTCCTTTCGATGCACAAGTGTCTTTATTTAATTCTGGAAGCATGAGGGGTGATGCTTGTGTATATGGTGAAGTTACTGCTGTGTTTGATGAATGTGAAAAAGTTTCTGTTAATCCTAAAGTTGTAGCTGCATATGGTGATGATACATGTGGAGATTGTGACTCTGACAGGGCACTGGCAAAATGCGATGACGTGGGAACACAAATGAACTGAGGAGAAGTTGTAATCTGCTTCAGTGGAGATGAAGATGGTGCCTGTGCCATTAATGGTGATGAATTTACTGACACTGCTGGTGAAGCTGTGGTTACCTGCATAATGGGTGAAGTCAAAGAAGTGTGTGTTGTCTGCACAAGTCAAAGATGCACAATGGGTGAAGTCAGAGAAGTGTGTGTTGTCTGCACAATGGGTGAAGTCAAAGAAGTGTGTGTTGCCTGCACAGTGGGTGAAGTCAAAGAAGTATGTGTTGCCTGCACAATGGGTGAGGTCAAAGAAGTGTGTGTTGTCGGCATAATGGGTGAAGTCAAAGAAGTATGTGTAGTCTGTACAACGGGTGAAGTCAAAGAAGTATATGTGGTCTGCACAATAGGTGAAGTCAAAGAAGCATGTGTTGCCTGAATAATGGGTGAAATCAGAGAAGTGTGTGTTGTCTGCACAATGGGTGAAGTCAAAGACGTATGTGTGGTCTGCACAATGGGTGAAGTCAAAGAAGCGTGCGTTGCCTGCACAATGGGTGAAGTTAAAGAAGTGTGTGTTGCCTGTACAATGGGTGAAGTCAACGATGTATGTGTTACTTGTGAATTAGAAGCCCCAAGTGCTAACTTAGGGGAAGAAGAGATATTTGCTACCTGTGGACCTAGAGCAGATTCTGGACCTAAAGTGGTTTGTGCTATTTGTGTGGCTTCAGATGTCTGCATTAAAGAAGCTGGAGCTTGGGATAGCTGTGTGTCTGAGCTTATTTGAGGTAAATGTGAAACTAGAGGTGACTGTGTTAAATGCTGATTGATATTAGTATGCATCAAGAGTGGAGCTGTGGCTGCCTGAGTCAAATGAGAGTGTGGGATCAAAGGTGTTAGTTGTGATGCTGTGGTCACCTGGGTTAGGAGAGTGCATGTACCTACATCTAATGAGTGTGAGGTTGCAGTTGAATAACTAACTTGAGGGAGTTGATTTGTAACTGTTATACTGGAATTTGGGGTTTCCTGCATTAAATTGGATACTGTGGTTACTTGTGCTAAATGCATGTTTTGTGTGAAAGGTGATGATGTACCTGTATGTGCTAGATGTGCATTTTTTTCTTCCAACTGTGTAGGTACATCTGCAACAGATTTAACATCAGGAATGACTACATTGGGAAAGGCATCTTTAGAATGAGGTTCCATACAAACTGAAATCCCTTCATTGTCATTACCTGATTTATCTGTGTCACTAGCAACCTCATTGTCTTTTGTGGCATTCTGACTTTCATTTTCTTTATTTTCTGCATCACTCTGCATCTCTTGCTCTAAGAAGTGTAAAAGCACAGGAGGCAATTGTGGTGGCTGAGTACTACATGATGAATCTTTTTGACTGTCATTTGCAGGGAGATCAAGCTGAACTGCACTGGGTGGAGCTGGTGTGATATTGGTCTTGTCAAGTGTGAAAAGAGGGACATTTTGCATACTTGCCTCACTTTCTGCTGTGTTTACCTGCGGTACTTCTGCTGTCTCCTGAAGACGTAAACAGAAATCCTGATTACTCAATTCTTCAGCAATCTCAGCAAACATTTTGTTGGATGGCTTATCTTCTATATCAAGCAGAGTTGACTGGAATGCTTGCTGAACAACATCTAAAGGTTCTTGTATATTTGCATAACATATTTCATCTGGCTGAACTGCTGTCATTCTAGAATCAATATTTCCTTCAACAGTATGAAGCGGTACTGTGTAAGGGACACCTATGATATTAGTATTTGCACTACTGGAATCCAATGAATTTAATGACGGCATAACCATATCTGACACATTAGCAGAAAGTAAAGCTGGACGATTTGGATTCTGTTCGTCCATAATACTAGTCGGGACTGATGTGACAGTTTCATTAGACTGTGTGCTAGTCTCGGACACAACAGCACCTATTACAAGAGGTAAGTTAACTGCTGGAGCAGTCACTTGTGGAATACTAATTTGCACTTGACTTGGCATTAAAATAACTTGTGGAAGGACTTCAGCCTCCTGACTTGTATTTACTGGGAAAGCTCCCTGAGTGACATTTAGATTTCCCTGTACATCTTCTACGAGAGTACCTGCACTTAATTGCTGAACACTTCCACCAGAAAACATTAATGGTGTTTCATGAGGAGTAACCAGTGTCTTGTTCTCTTGATTTAAAGTGTTATCACCCTGAGAATTTTCACTTAAAGGCTGAAGCAATCCAGTTAACCCACTTGATACATTAATATGAGGGAGTACTGGATTCAAATCGGCTGAAAAATGGGACTCTGACTCCTTTCTACAAGCTGGTGTGGTTACAACACGAGAAACTCCTCTACCTGAGTCTGATAAAAGTGTTGCTTTTAAGATGCTTACTGGTGTTTTGCCTGCATCTGACAGCTGAGATGTATCACTAAGTGAAGAAGTATTGTTACCATAAGGTAGGCTTGTTGTTGGCATTTGCATGCCATGGCTTGTGACTCCTGAAACCCCTGAACAAGTTGGGAGATTAGACCAAGTTACAGAGGGTGTTTGTGAAATTACAGACTGGGAATTATTTAAAGCTGATGAAACAGATGTTACAGGCATTTGTTGATGATACTCAGCTCCACAAGAATTGAGATCTTTTACACTCCCAGATTGAACAGTCATAGCCACTGAAGATGGTGTGCCTGCTGATACTGTCAATGTTTCTGCTGGAGTTGTGACAGTAGTGTGTGTTGTAACACAAGACGGATATGCTGGACTGTAATTCAAGGCATCTGATGCACCTTGTGTAAGTGTTGCTGTCTTTGTCAGCATAGTATCATCTAACGATGAGGTTAAGCTCTTCAAAATATTCCCATCTCCTGACAAGGACAAGGAATTTATTGCTGAGGTAGTGTTACTATTACTGGAGGTTAAGGTTGCAGAGGGTTCAGTAGAGATAGAGGACATCATATCTTTACCTTCACTTGGTGAGTTCAAAGCAGTTGTAGCCACAGATTCTGTTGCAAAAACTGATGGTGACCCAACCTTGGCCACTCCTGATTGATCACTTGCACTATATGCAACACTAAAATTGCTCACCCCTTGATTTATCATTGCCTTTGAAGTATTAATGCCTGGATCCATCACCCCTTCTAAACAAGGAGATAATGCCTCTGAATTTTTTGGAGTGACTGGCAATGTGCAAGTGGGAGACTTCCTATCAGCATCTGTCAAATTCACACTTTGCCTTCCACTCTGTAAAATAATGCTGCTAACGCTTGGAGGTGTCTGTGGTATATGTACAGGTGTTTGTGGCATGGGGCTCATCACTGGACCAGGTACAGAGGGAAGGACTGGCATAGGACTATATTGTCCATCATAACCTATGGACTCACTCGGACTTTTCAGAGAAAATGAACTCTTACCCTCAAGAGCTTGTGATGCTTTATGTAGGGTGTGTTCTTGTGACTGTAAAGAATCTGAGGTTACTGGAGTTGTATGAGGTGTCTGTGCAGATGATATAGGTGTTAAAGGTGCCTGAAGTGGTGTAATGGGTGGCTGAAGAGGAGTCATGGGTGCATGAAGTGGAGTCATGGGCGCATGAAGTGGAGTCGTGGGTCCCTGATTAGGAGTCATGGGTCCATGAAGAGGAGTCATGGGTCCATGAAGAGGAGTCATGGGTCCATGAAGAGGAGTCATGGGTGGATGAAGTGGAGTCATAGGTCCATGAAGTGGAGATACAGAGTGAGGAGGGTGAGGTGTGACTGGAGTCTGAGATCCTGTAATAGCCTGGGTATTACTCGGAAATGTCTTTGAATCCTGAGGATGTGCCAGTGTTCCTGACTTAAGGTGGCTGTCTTCATCAAACTGCGATCTATCTTCAGGTGACTGTTGCAAACTTGGCAATTTTTGTTTGTGTGACTCTGTAGCATGAATAGGTGAAGTACTGGTTTGTTGTGCTGAAGATTCTGATTGTACTGTCGGACTAGAAGCTATTGCTTGGGTGCTGGTTGTATCAAGTACAGAAGGAACAGAAGTTTCAGGGGTGTGAACTGATGCCTCTGGTGTATGAAGGGGTGTCTGTGGAGCATGTGCATGAGGTGTATATGGCATGTATAAAGGTGACTGAGATACATAGGGTTGAGGTGCATAGGATGGCGTCTGTGGCAAGGGGCTCATGACAGGACCAGGGGCACTGGGCAGACTGGGGAGTGGACTCATCATTGGTGGTTCATTACTCTCAACTCCATAATGGCTTGGTGTGTGAGGCATTGGACTTACAAGCGGTCCAACTGACGGATAAACTGGCATGGGGCTCATCATGGGAGGAAGGGAAAAATCATCCGTTTCAGAATATGCAGGTGTTGGAGGAATTGGGCTCATGGCTGGCGTCTGAGCTGTTGATGTTGGGTTTTTACCTAAAGGAAGCTGCTGGGGCATCTGAGCAATATGAGCAGGTGTCTGAGGCATTGGACTCATGGCTACTTGAACAGTAAAATGTTCTGCAGCCTCTCTTAAGCTACCAAATGGATGTGCATGATGGGATGACATGTCTTCAGTACTGGGCACAGGACTCAGTATGGAAAAGCTCTCTCCAATGCTGTGTGTTGGTGTGTTGGCAATTGGGCTTACAATCGGGCCTAACATTGAAGGATACACAGGCATGGGACTCATGCGAACTGGGGAGGTAGTGCGTACTGGGGTCGGTGGGATTGGACTCATCACTGGACCAGGAGCTGAGGGTAAGATAAAGGGTGCACTACTCTGAGGTGTCATGGAGGCTGAAAGATTAACAATGGGTTCAACTGGACTCAAAGGCTGTAAGCGCAAATTTATGTCTTCATGCGGCTGATGGCGAGGGGTGGGGGCCATTGGACTCATTGGAGGTTGAATAGAATCCATAAGAGGGAATGCATTATTGCCAGTATCAGAAACTGAGCAGAAGTCATCTCTGTGTGCAGCTGGTGTGCAAGGTATAGGACTCATGAGAGGTAATGATGTATCAATGAATGGTAAGTTGAAGTCATCATGATCAAGAATATCTCTACCATCTTTCTTTTCCTCTCTTCTCTCAGTAATGTTTGTGAACCCACTGGCTTCCTTATGGGGAAATCCCTGAGACTGAGGATTTGTCTCTCTCCCTGGAGCCTTTGCTTTACAAAATGTTGAAGCTAATGAAGGAATTGATTTCAAACTTCTCATTTTAGTCATTTCTTCACCTGCAGACTTTTCACGACGGAAAGGCTGAGGTTCATTGCGTTCCATCGGCCTTCCTGATTTAAACCCACTGCTGTTTTCTGTTTTGTTCCATCCACTTTTTGTGTTGTCTTTTGTACTAATATCTTGTCCTTGCCTCAATCTTTGTGGTGGTACAAAGTGGCCTTCTATTCTATGCGCTTTCTTTCCTTGTTGACTTGAAACATCAGGGTGTGGGGAAAAATCTATTTCTTCTGTATCCTGTTGGCTACTTGTTTCCACTGCTTTGTTATAATTGTGTGGCTTTGACCATCTGCTACTAGATGACTGCATATGACTGGTAGCTTGGGAATGTGTGTCCTGTTGTAGATGTCTCTGGTTCCCAGGTGCCATTTGTTGTCGTTTTCCCTGCAAAAACTGTTGCTTGTTATTTGGAGACACCAGAGATTTACTCCCTTGTGAAGACTGAGCCCTATTACTTGAGGAAATTTGTGATCGTTCTAATTGTGGTGGTGGTTGTCGGTTCCCAGACATAGATCTGTTGGCTTGTGGAGGCCCTGGTTTATTGCCTGGAGACACCTGTTGCCTGTTCCCTTGTGAAAATTTAGGCCTATGTCTACCAGGAGAAATTTCTGTAGTATTTGATTGTTGTGGCAAATTTTCTGCAGATGGTCCTCTACTTCCAGATCCAGACTGCCTGAATCTGTTTCCATGCTGTGCATGCCTGCTGTCCATGTGTTGTTGGTAACGACTTCTTGGAGGAGAGCGTGAATCAGGATGATGCTGATGACTCCCTTGTGGCGCATGGAAATGACTCCCCGCCTGAGAAGAAGGACGGGGGATATTGCCCCTATCCTTCCTAGAAGCAAGTGATGCTGCTTGCTGATTGGAAGGCCTGTGGGTTCCTTCTGATCTCAAAACATTTCCCTGCATTCTATCAGCAACTGCCTCTCCCTCTAAAGCTGTGTTCTGAAAAGGCTGGTTCTTTCTTCGAGAATCTGGATCCTCTAACACCTCAGAAAAAGAATGATGCATTGCAGACCTTCCTCTGTGCTTCATGCTTTCTAAGTGTGTCTTTGACTTTTTTGATTTTTGCATCTCTTCATACTCCATCCCATGACCTACTTCTTCCTCACCCTTCTTTAAGTGGGAAATATTCTGCTGTTCAGAAATCGTTTCTACTTCCCCACCAGCACGCCCATGTACATTTTGTCTAGCTTGTCTCTTTTGTTCTGATGGATACCTGCTTCGTGATTCTACCTCAACTTTACTCTTTGAAGTGTGGGGTTCTCTAAGTGGACTCAGTGGTGCAGGAACTTTTCCAATGCCAATAAAGGGGGATGAGTCCATACTTTTTGCTGCACTCTTCGACAACTGCAAGGCCTTCTTCTCTTCCTTGCTTGCTCGATTTCTTGAAGAAAATTGTGTGCCTTTGGGGGAAAGCCCACTCTCAAGAGTAGAGTAGTTTTCTTTTTTCTCATGCTCTTTTCTATCTGAAGGTGGATGGTTATGAGAAGAATGAGATGGCTGGCTGGAATGTTTTGGAAGGTTAGATTTTGATGGAAATCTTTGAGTTTTGGGAGACTCCTTCACAACAGGCTCAGGTTCCACTGGAACAGGTGATGCAGGAAATAAATTCATTCGAGCATGACTGGGGGACTTAAACTGTTGATCTGGTAGATACAAAGAGGAAATATCAGACGGCTGTGAAAGTGACTGGCACATTGAAGTTGGACTTGATCCACCACCAGGAGTTCTTGGTCTCTCTGGCAAGCTACTGGCCATGAGATCTGGGTCAAAAATAGATTCAAACTGCTGGTACGGATTTCTTGCAGCATCATCTCCTGAATCATTAGAAAAAATGTTCTGTACTTCATGATTCCCTCCTGGTGTCAGAGGTCTTTCTGGGAAGTTATTCATATAATAATCATAAATATAGTCATGTGAATGTTGTTTTTGGGATGATGATGGAGTGCGAAAGGTGTGGTCATCCCTAACTTCCCTTCCTGGTGTCTGTGGACGCTCTGGGGTCTTATTATCATCAGAATCAAACGTATCAACAAATGGCTCTACATTGACAGGTTTGATGTTTGTTACTTGCAACCCCTCCTCCTGTGTTGGAGTAGACCCAGAAGAAGAGGCTGGAGGGGAAAAAGACCCAAACAACCGAGCCATCTTTCTCTTGGATTTCCGTTTTGATTCTGAACTTCCATTAGATGCTTGAGCAGTTTCACCAGATGACGACTGGGCCTTTGCTGAAGTCTGGCGATTATTTACCTTTTTGGCATCAGTCTTTTGTACAAGAGAACTAGGCTCTGAGAAGCCATGCTTGCTGCTGACTGGATCCCCTGGTGTAGGCGGACAATCAAAGTTGAACCAGTCAGGATTATCACAGTCGGACATTTTCCTATGGGGCACTGCAGATTCAGACTTTTTTGAAGATGTTGCTGCATGAGATGGTTTATTCTTTTGGGATTTGGGCACCTGATTCAAAACACCAGCAGCTGGATTGGTAACTGGATCATGAACTGGGAGGTCACTACCTGGAGTCTGTGGAGTCATATCATAATCCATATCAAACACATCAGTACTGGCAACCCGAGAGAACCTCCTTGACTGAGTAATTGGGGTAGTCATGTGTCTCTCCCTGACCGCCTGCAACTTCTGTGTTCTAATGCCAGACTCCGGGGAGGAAGACCTGGAGGAGTCGCTGCCACCTTGCCTCTCTGAACCACTTTCAGAGTGGCTGGAACTGGAGGAGGAGTCACTTACCTCATTTGTTCTAAGGGTCTGCCCAGTGGGAGCTGCTTTGGCCTCCCTCTCAGACCTAAAACAAAAAGGAAATTAATCTCAATGAAATAGAAAATCTACAAGAGAGGATGTGAATGTCATAAAAAGTAAATACAAATTTTACAAATACTGTAAATGCATGATGTTAAGAAATGATAGCACAACCTATACAGAAAAAGTGGTATAACATAAGAATGATAAAACTTTGTTAAATGTTATGTTAAAAGTTCTCAAAATCTTGCATCTGCAAAGCAGATTTGTAGTATGAATACAAAAACAGGTAAAAAAAATAAAGGCACAGATGACAGTTTCTAGATAATAAAAATATACTGCCAGCAAATTAGGTGAAACTTTTCCAATAGCAAAGTGAACATAAATTACTCTGACTCTAATATGCTCCAATCAACACCAAAACTCAGGTGTTTGTTAAAGAAGAAATAAATAATTTGAATATAGTAATATAGGATGTCAAGGAAATTGACATCAAACTAGCAGCAGAGATACTGAAGACATAAAATAATGGTTATACCTATAGTTGTACACAAATAAACCTTTCAACATCTCAGCATACTTCTTCCCTGAAGCAAATGAAGCAAACATAAGATATCGGTACTTCTTTTTGTATTGGTTACCCTAAAAATGTACTAGATATGAAAATTGTTTTTGTTTGAATCTTGCTGTTTGAACAA